TTACATTTCTTCTGGTAGTGTCCATATTGCCCACACCTAGCACATCGATTCTGTCTTCGTGTGAACTCACCTATGCTGGGAATGCGTTTTTGCTTTGGCCTACCCCTCTTTGGTACAACTCGCGGTGGAAGAAGGCGAACTTCCTTTACGTGATTCGGAATATCCCATTGCAAAGTATCCGGCACAGGATAGATTGTCTCAGCATACGCAAGAGCGCAAACTTCTGTCCTATAGTATTTTGAGCATAAATCATAGAGTGACATTACTGCTTCTCTACAACATGATATTGCATGCTCGCATGGGTTCTGCTCAAGGTCGAACACACGACAAGTGCAACTCCTCGCTCCAATATTGACAATTGCAGTGGCCTCTCCACCTGTCACTTGGAACTCAACAGTATTAAGTCTTCTGGCCATTAGAAATCCTGCTTTGTTGTGCCTCTCACGAAGAGTTTTTTTCACACTTGGCGTTAATAATGTTTTAGTTTTAGAAGCTTCGACCCGCCTGTTATTAAACCACTCTGACATCTTCGCTTGTATAAAATTAAAGAGGGCAATGACAGGGTAATCTCGAACATCTTTGAGCATTGCATTAACTGACTCAGACATGTTTGTGGTCATAATATTATATCGATTTCCTTTAAAATGAGCACAAGACCACATTTCAAAACGTACCTTCTCCTGTAGGTATTTGGCAATACTGGGATATCTTGCAGACAACTCATCAAACAAGACAGAAAACTCGTCAATGCGGTAGGCCTCAACGGTTTTAAAGAACAATGGCAGAACACCGCTACATCTGAAATTACTCTTGATGTTTTGAGACACATGCCATGTGCAACAACCGTGATGTGCTAATGAATAAACTGTAGACAATGCATTACTTATACTTTGATTCCTATCAGAAATAAAAACTAATTCCTCAGAATCAGTGATAATCACCTTCAAGTTCGAGAAGAACCATGTCCAGGATGCATCATTCTCTGAGTCTACAATGGCCCATGCGATGGGATAACAATGACGTTCACTATCCTGTGCAATGGCAACTAACAACGTACCTCTGAATTTTCCCTTCAACCACGTTCCATTAACACTGATAACTTTTCTCATGCAACCAAAACCTCGTATACAAGGTCCATATGCTAGGAAAAGATAGATAAAACGGTTCTGTTCATCAAAATGAATATTGGTGATGCTATCGTGATTAGTAAGAGACACCATATGAAAGTATGATGGGAGCTTAGTGAAGCTTTCTTCGGCCGTACCTCTTA